GCGACAAATGTCTCTGTGCAAATGCCAACAATTCGAAAATTTTCGCGGTGCGAATTCGCACTCATGTACCATTTGAAAGTTAAAACTAACTTAACCTAATCCAAACCATTTCTTGGTATGGGGTGGATCTAGCTTTGCGTAAAAAGTTGCAAACTACATACGTGGAACCTCGCGATTCACGTTGCAAAGTGTATGCGCGAAAGCATACTTGATTGAATTCCATTTACCTAAAAACGGTTCAGTTAAATAGCATTTGCCTAAGAAAATAACGTTTAAAAACAAATAAATCATTAAAAATAATTTAGCCAGGCAAATAGCGTTTGCCTAGTCAAAAACTATTTTCCTAAAATGATCATTTACCTACAACATATGTACAAACTTAGGGAGATGTATTTAAAACAAACTTTTACTCTTGCGATCTTTACTGTAAAACGTCTCTTTGTTCTTTGCAATTCTCTTGCAAATTTTATGAACTGGTTAATGAACTCTAGCGCTCGCGTCACATGTCGGTAACATCGGTGATGTCATTACCATCTATCTGCTTCCCACAGTTCGACCGAGCTGAACCATCATCCGCTCCAGGTAATGTCTCTTTGCCAGCATCTAGAGTGGTTCACCTTTTTAGGTATTCGGCACAAGTAGTCGTCTTAGCGGGTCCCTTACAACTTTCGACCTTTATGACATCGTATGTATTATAAGGCTTTTACTTTGGTGATAGGATATGGTTCTAAGTATTTGGGTTTTAGTTTTAATCCAGGTCCAGACTAGGTACGCTTGATAGCCACTAACTCATTGAGATGGTGTTTATTGGGATCTCTTCGTCGTAAGTTGTAGCGTTTTTTGTTATAAAGTTGAACCTTTTCAATCTGCTTCCTGGCGTCGTCTCTTTGCTACTTTCTGGTATTATCATAATAGCGAGTCATTTCTTGTTCGATAGTTTCTTTCAGAGTAAAATCTTCTTTCTAGTCTTCATTTCAGTCTAGTTTCTAGTTGGTGTTCACCAACACTTCGAACGAAGTGGCATCGATCCTGCATTGATAAGTTGAATTTAAGACAGTTTTGCAATATGCTTGTACCATTTTGTGGGTTCATCTAACATCTTGGCGAGTACTGGAATAATCATCCTGTTGATCCTCTCAATTTGTCCATTGGCAAACCCACAGTAACTTTAATGTGTTCTATATCTTCATTATGACAGTAGTCTTCGAACTCGGCCGATGTGAAAGCGGTGCCTCGGTCAGAAATAATCCGACTCAGGTTGCCAAAGACACTTTTTTGTAGCTCTAACTTCTTGATCGTCTCTTTAGATGTCACCATTTTGGTGGGATACAGCCACATAAACTTGGTAAAGGCATCTATAATGACTAAAATATGTCTGTAATTCTTGTGGGTCATCTTTAGTGGTCCTAAGTGACCCAGATGGTAGGTATGTAGCGGAATGTTCCCTTTACTTATTGGATGTAAATATCCTTCTTGTTTGCCTGACTTTTTGTTAATTAATATGCATTTCACGCAATTCGCAATGCATCTTTCAACTTTAGAGTGGAGATTTGGGATGAAGAATTCTTGCTTTACATCTTCTTTAGTCCGCTTGGTGGCAAAATGTCCTCTTTTGTGTGCATTCCTTATAATTTCGTCCTGCATAGCAGGGAATAATTAGTTCAACATCATTCGAATACTTATGCACCAGACCGTTATGCAGTATGATGTCTTGATATGGCCCGTTCTTCAATCATGTCTTAATGTTTCTTATGACTTCATCGTCTTCTTGCACCTTCTTCAGTTTAAGAGTCATGAACAGATTCCACCGTCATCACTGGATAACGACTAAGTACGTCTACATGCTTTAAACAGGATCCAGATGTTCGATACTGTAATTATATTCTTCTAGGAAGAGAACCTATCTCGCTATCCGCGGTGTAAGATCTTTTTTTTACATAGTTTGCTGCAAACTATGTAAAATGCGGCACAATCCGTGATAATCTTAAACGTTTTACCCAAAAGGTAGACCTGGAATTTCTTTAAGGCTTCTACTACAGCTAATACCTCAAGCTTATAACTGGAATATTTTCTTTCTTGTTCTGACGTTTTTTTACTCATGAAGTACTGGATGTAGTTTGCCATCTTCGAGAAGCTTCTGTAATAGCACAGCGCCATAACTATCTTAACTGGTGTCAGTATGAATTTCTGTCTCATATTCTTGATTGTAAATACTTAAGACTGGTTCCTTGGTTAAGCATCGTTTCAGCTTTTTAAATGCGTTATCTTCTTCCTTTTTAAACTGGCAAACTTTATTTTTCTTCAGTAAGTCACTTAACCGTTTAGCGATCTTGAAATAATGCGGGATGAATTTGCGGAAGTGTCCGGTCAAACTCAGGAAGCTCTGTATTTGTTTAACAATCGTCGGTTCAGGGAACTTTAAAACTGCCTTTATCTTTTCCAACGAGGGATACAATTTCCTATTCTCAATGACATATCCTAGGAATTCTATATGTCGTTCCAGTAGTTGGCATTTCTTCTTATTAATTTCTAGACCGTATTCTTCTACTTGTTTCAACACCTAATTTCTTAACAGCATCTTTATTTTTCGCCGGTGTTATTAAATCGTAGATGTAAGATAACGCAATTTCTTGCATCATGTCGTAAAATATGTTGTTGATAAAACGCTAGAGAACAACTGTTGAGTTGCACAAGCCAAACGGTACTCTCCGAAATTGGTATTGTCCTCCATGTGTCACGAATGCCGTGTACTTCTGGCTGTCTTTGTTTACAGGAACGTGGAAGAATCCATTCCTCAGATCTAATGAACTGTATATGTGAGCGTCTTGAAGTCTGTCTAAGACATTATCTATGAGGGGTAAAGGATAGCGATCTTTCATTATGATTCTGTTGATGGCACGGTAGTTGATACACAGTTGATATTTGTTCCATCCTTTTTTTAGTCATTACAACAGGACTCGCGTATTCCGAACACGGTTCGACGATGCCCTCATTGATTCACTGTTCTATTTGTTTTACCACGATTTTTCTCTTGAGAAATGGTAGCCTTTTGATCGTGCACAAATCTTCTGATCTTCGTTTAAGGTAATAGTCATCTCAATTTTAGATTCCTTGATCTTCTTTGATGTGTAATTATTAAGATTTTCTACTTCTCTTTTTCTTTCTTTAGAAACAGTACATCCTACAGCAGGTGCATCTGATTCAACAGCATAACTCGGAAAAAGAATGCTATTTATTTTGTGTGTCTTATTGACTATAAAGTTATCTTGATTTATTTTGACTTTGGCCTGTGACAATGGCTCGTTTCCGACAACAGTTTCCATTGTCATAATACCATCGGCTACTACATAGATTGTTACTTAGAAACGGTCAGTATCAATCGTAATAACGTCTTCGAAACATCCTATTGGTGTCACCTTACCTCCATCGAATCCGGAAGAATGTAACTTAGAATCCAACAATATCGGTGCACCAACTTTATTATGCAAACTTTGATGTTAAATTAACTGCCGGTGTTCACTAAAGCATTTCTCACTTTTAATCTTTATCGTCTTGTACACACTTTTAGGAGCATTAAAACTATTTATAAGTTGAACTTTTTTCATATCCTCTTCATCTTCTTCCTTTATCTTCTTCGTTTTTTCTTTCTTGCAGTCAAGCAATTTATGCCAAAATTTATTGCATTTAAAACATTTGGCACCTTTACTCTTATTATCGCTCGTAGTTGATTTATGCCCTAATTCGCCACAATTAAAACAACAAACTTCTTCTTTCGATTTTGTAACTTTCTTATTCTCATAGTAAGATTCGATGTTTTAGTTGTGCCTACGTTCTCATCTTCTCGTATGCTTTCAATTTTTGGATCCAAATCGATCCAATCCGAATATTTTTCGTCCGTTCGTTATTAGGACTTTGGAGATACTTAATGGTGGCTTAAATTTTTCTGTTATCTGCCTATTTCCTGTTCTATTGTTTAGCTGCACAGTTCGTAGCTGTTTTTCTGCACGCTACGCCTTATCGTATAGTTGAGTTGCGAGGCCTTGTCATGTTTCAATGATATCTCGGCTGCTGCCAAAACGCTCGGCTCCTTAGCTTCTGGGGTTTGCTATGATTACTGTTTTAGGTCTGCGATCGTACCTCTCTCTCTCTCTCTCTCTCTCTCTCTCCCTCTCTCTCTCGTTTTTGATGATTTTAATGCTGATCTGAATATCCAGTCATTTGATTCAAACCAGGTATTATCTTTTGTTGAATCGCTACATTTTTATTTAGTGCCTTATGCACCAACGCATCATTTGCGTACCTCATCGACAATGCTGGACTTATGTATTGTGGATGACAACGAAAAGCTAGTTGGCTTCAAACAGCATAATGTCAGTTTTCTGTCGGCACATGACCTGATCGAAATTACTTACAAGGTAAAAGTGGAGCGTGCATGCAGGCACAACATGATTGTCAGAGATTTCAGGTACTTTGATACAGATAATTTTGTGAAAGACCTTGACTTATGTAATTGGAGAGCATTGTTTGATTCAACGGATATTGACTGTAAGGTAGAAATATTGAACAAATCACTGACAAGTTGCTTTGATAGGCATGCTCCGATCAGAGTAATCTTACCGCGCCATTTGCCCTTGGTTATCTGATGATATCAAGGTAAAAATGCATGAAAGAGATAGAGCCAGGAAAAAATGGAGAAGACAAAAAACGGCAGAGAATTATGAATCATTTAAACGATTAAGAAATTAAGTGCAAAATCTGGTACGCTCAGCCAAAGTGAAACATTATTGGACTACCTTTAACAACACGAAGGATGTGGACTCTATGTGGAAAGGGCTTAGATATTTAGGAATCATTAAGTCAAGGACATCTGATACGGGGTTAAAGTTCACGCTGGATGAGTTAAATGACTATTTTACTAGTCACACGCAGTCATCTCCTAACTCGGGACGGCCAATTTTTTTCGGGGACGAGGTGTACGTGGAGGGTAAATTTTATTGGGGCAACCTTGAACCCCTAGATGTGGTGGGAGCGCTCCAATGAAATAAGTCCGAGGCGATGGGTGCGGACGAACTGCAGCACAAACTGCTGATGAAGGCTCTGCCTGGCATCCTCAATGCAGTTACCCATATTTTCAACTATAGTCTCATTAGTGGTGTTTACCCAGCGGTGTGGAAATCTGCAGTAGTCTATCCCATCCCGAAGGTAAGAAGTCCGGCTCAGCTGAGTGACTACAGACCAATTTCGATTATTTGCACGGTCTCAAAGGCACTGGAGAGACTTGTGGCCGGACAAATTGTAAAATATATGGAGAGTCGAAATCTGTTTGACCCTTA